CCGCCCACCCGCCCATCCATCCATCCATCCATCCATCCATCCACAGATCTGTTTGAGATGGATTCAGTCCTTCAGCTTGCGTTTCCACACATTCAGGGCCTGCCATCCACGACATACCCGCCATAGTCCCAGGCTATGGAAAAACCCTTCACTGGACTGTACTGAGGAAAAATACAGGTTCCCAGAAAAGCTTCTGTGCGTTCCAAAGAATTCCCCAAAGAGGCCAAAATAAGCAGATACTCCTCAAAGTGCGTCAGCAATAATCGGCCCTTAAAATCACCCAGACAAAAGCTATTCATATTTTTATTGTGAAAAAAAGTTTGCTTCGAGGAGGAAACATTCCACAGATGTTTTGCCGGTGCCTTGGAAAATGGGCAACTGTTCTCCCTGAACTGTTTGGTAAGGAATGCCCCCTCTTGTCAGGCAGCCCAGTGGATACACCCGGTGAGTCCCTGGGAATTATTACAGCAGACCCTCCTTACAGCCCCCTTGCAACACCCTCCATCAGCTGGTAGGGTGGACTCACGTGGGGGCCCACCAATTGCTTTAAGGAGCGACCACGTCTCTTTCGCTTGCTCAGGACACGACAAGGAGGGCCTGTGAGCCCCGGCAGCTCTTCTGTGTTGGTTTTGGCACATTCAAGGAACTTTTTCATACTCCAGCGAAAGGAGAAGGGGCTCTCGCCCCTCTGTAGAAGTGGGGACTTTATTCTCTCTCGATCTCGCCCCACCCGTCCCCATCTGCAAGGCAGAGAGACACTTTCCAGCTTCTCTTGCCGAGCACTTGCAGCACTTCCAGTTACCAAAAGAGTATTTAAAGAACTTGCTGCCCCCACGCCTTTCTGCATAAACACGCTGCTGGTTTAAACACAGAACAGCTGCTGTACGGACCCCCACCCCAAGGCAGCAGCATCCCAAAATGGTCTGTGGAGTTTCTGATCGATCGTCCACCTCAGGGACGCATCCTTTGGTTGGTATCTGTCAGCTGAGAGAGCGCCTGTACCTCTCAGACTGGAACGCCCCAAACCAGCTGCAAAACTCATAAAGGAGTTCTTTTGCCCAACAGTTTAACGGATTTGGAGAACCAAGCTCGGGGGGGGGGACGGGACGTGTTTCTTCCAGCAATTGAGCATGGTCTAGGGGGCCTTGAAATCTCAGACAGAAGGCAGGCTCAAAGGATTACTTTTCTGCTGCAGCAGGTCTTCCCTGCCCACCGGCTCAGCGGGGGGGAGGGGGGGTATTCTCTGTCCAGCCATGGAGCCGTGGTAGCCCTTGACAGGGCGGGTCAGCTTGGTGCAAGCAAGAGCCCAGCCCTTCCCTGCCCCCTCCAAACCTGGGCAGCTGGCTAGGGAGGGGGGCCGGGCCCTGGGAGCTCTCCTGAGCAAGCCCTCCCCACAAGGGTAAAGGAACATGGCCACGCTTTGCGTCTCTCTTCCCATCGCCAGCCCTCCCAAGCTCGGCCCGGACAGCCATCCGCTCTGGCAGGCTGGCAGTTGGTAAATAGGGAGCAGGGATCATTTCCGTGGTTGGGCTCCAGAGATCTCCCTGACCGCAGAGTATCTGTAAGAAGAGTCGACCCAGAACACGGCAGACTGAAGAAGGCCTTAAAGCAAGCGGAAAGCTCTGCGTTCCCCCTCACCTGCCTCTCGTTCTGATGCACTTCACAGGCTCTGTATCAGCAAGGAAGGGAGCGAGCCGGGCACCGTTTGGCTCTCATTCAGCCAAACAGCCGTTTTGCCAGATGCGCCAACAGCAGCCTCCTCTCCTGAGCAGCTTTCTCTCAAGCTGCTAGAGATCCCCCGATAATACCTGTTTTTAGCAAGTTCCTTGAATGCTGGCTGCTGAGGGAGTGTGTCTGCGCCGGCCGCGCTACCCGTAGCTGAGCATGTCCCGTTCGTGCAGCCTTTGCGAGTCCAAGAGAAAAGGGCTTCGGTCGAGGGACGGGCCAGTCAGTTCCAGGAAAGCCATTTTCCCTTGTGGCTAAGGACCGCTTCCTCATCCAAGCTAACCCAGCTAGAGAAAGACCAGTTGGATATTGATTTACCTGAAAAAAGGCCTAGTTTTATCTTGCTTTGCTATTAGGTAATAAACACGTGAAACTGTCTGTAAGCAGTGTAAGCAGATGAAAGACATCATAGAAGACAGTTGGAACATTTGCAGGGCATTAAACCTTCAGATGTTCAAAATCCCAACTCCAAAATTAAGGGCCAGCCCCTGCAAAGCAGTTTCTTGTATCCCCAACAGCTGCCTGATATCTTTGGGGGGGGGGTGCTGGAGGGCTCGTTTGCTTACTGACAGCTTGAGCTAAGACTTATGTCCAGCTTTTCTGTTGGAGAAAGACTGCAGCCAGCCACCCCTCTAGAAACCAAGCCAAACCACAATATGGTGGTTACACTTGACCGGGCATCCCTGCTTCTTCCTCTCATTGTGCCATGTAGTGTTCGCTGCTCAGTTCCTGCTCTATTTCAAAAAGGGGTTGCAAGGATAAAATGGGGACGCCCCGCCCCGCCCCACCCCACAGCAATGGAGCCAGAGCATCCAAATGCAAAAATAGCAGAGGCAGTGCGTTAAAAAAAATCCTTTAAAAGGCCCTCGGGCCATTCAGTGCTGAAGGAGATTTGCCCGGGTGTCCCTCCCAG